AATGTAATGAAGGAGGCGCATTTCTAAATAGTAGGCGGCACCATAGTTCATATGATGATTCAATCAAAAGTTCCACACCTCCCCCTAACGCCATCGTAATGATCCCTGCAAAAAACAGCGTTCACAACCGGTGTAAATTATGCAATTTCTCCAGTGATCCAAGTTCCCCGCATTTTCTTACTAATAACGGTATCTGGAACATTTCGTAATCAGGGAGCGCATAATACAGGTAAATGTACTGTACGCATGTAATTTTGGAACTATCAAATTTCAGCGCCATCAGAATTACGAAAATTGACATTTTCTTCCCGCTAGACCGCTTCTCATAATACTTAGGTCATTACCCCTTGGTACAATCCAAATTAGTCACGACGCATGCACCGGGAATCGAGATTACCTAATTATTCGCACATCCATTGCAACAAGGGATCTCGCGGGGTTCGTTTGTTGAACCGACGCGTTCTGACCGATAGATGATGCAAGCAGGCTTTCGGCATTTCCGTAGCACCGAAACCCAAAGGATCACGCTACCGGAACGAATGGACACCTCTTGGGATGAGGGAATCATAATTTTAAATTTCTAAGCTAATCACCATACCGGACCTGAAACTTGATTCGAACTTTTAGAATGTTACGCAGCTGCGCATGATGTTTTCGTTTTTATTGCATTACCTAATTATCAGACGCTCTCCCGGTTACTTTGTGTTCTCGCCTCGCACCTTCACATGTTTCGATCAATCGAAACAAGCAAGATCCTGTGACATTCAGGTAAGCGTTCTTTGACCACCTTTAAAAAGTAAACTGCATCCATCCACCATGTAGGCGCGATGAATTCTTTCACCATACTAACGTCGTACAGCATCACCAGGTCAATGGCCGTTCATAAAGAGTGAGAACAAGTTTTTTTTTGCTTCCGGAATTGTGCCACAAACCGTATATACTGCGCACTATCGCGACAACACTGAAAATCTCTGGGCAATGTTTGTTTCTTCGCCGAGGTTTCACAACGAAAGATCGCTCTTTCCATATTCATAAGAAACAAGTTTCGTACACAATGCTTAATTGTGTGAGAGGAGAATCCAAAGACCAAAAAAAAGAGTAATCAAACTAAAGATTATCAGATGTGTTCGAAGCACCTGCATCATTACTTCATCTTGTGTATTCATTATCTGTCGCCTTCTTTTGTTCCAAGAGACCATTCTCTTTTCACAACACGCTCGTGATGCGAGAAATAAATAAGGAAATTACAATCATGACAAAAGAAGACATAATAATGAGCAAATAACTGGAATTTTCATGAACAATTAATTTTACTGGTTTAAAAAAAAAAAAAAAAGTATTTTATTATACTTTAATGTTTTATTTATTTATTATAATTTTTTTTTTTTTGAAGTGAAGAGATGGAAATGATGTATTGTGTATACAGGTGAACTGGTACATATTCATTATTACATCATGCCAGATTCTTTCAGGAAATAATCGGGCAACACGACAAATGTACAACCTTTTTACCAGTGTTGGGTCATAAATTACGTAGGAGGAAATAGATTTTCGACAAATCTTTGACAATTCGAAAAATAGAAGACTAGACAAAGCAAAGAACACAGATGAGGAAGAAGAAGAAGAAGAAAGAGAGAAAATTTTGTACAGTGAAATTACTTTCCCAAGGAAAACTTTTCTCGAGCACGAGACCGAGTCGCATTCGTTTGAACGTTTTCCTTCGAAAAAATGATGATGAAAAAACAAAAAAGCAAAAACAATATGAAATAAAATGAATAAATGAAAAATTTTATACAATGAACATAAAGTGAGGTGAATACTTTTGGGGGTGATATATCTATGCTGGACAAATACTCCATCACGTGATCAACGTCTCGAATTAAAGAAAAAAAAGAAAAGAAAAGAAAGAAAAACCGGGTAACGTGTATAAGAATGCAATTGCAATGAATGCACATGGGACCTTCAAATAATGATATACCAAGATATACCACATGCAAATGTTTAAAAAAGAAAAAAAAAATATTAGAATAGTGGTGGTGGTAATAAGAATGTGGTCAGACTATTAAAAAAAATTTTTTTTTGTTAACAAATTATTCTAAATACTATTGGTACCAAGAAGATTTCTATGTAATCTTGACCCTCATAAGTGGGTATAAAGTCTATATAATGGATTCTCCTATCGTCGGACGGTCCTTCGAACAAAGTGGAGAAAGGATAGCATATTTTTTTTTGTTTTAAATCATAAAAGTAACAAGAGCGGACGATGATACCAAAAGAGTCGTACTCAAAGGAGAACCACATCACGAGTATTGAAATCGCACTCCACCCACACACATTTCGTCATAACTTTCCATTTGTATCTCGTCCGGATCACACTTTTCAATCCTAATTTCCGTCCAACTTTCATCCGAGAACTTTTCAAGATTCGGAAAACTTGTGTACTCCATTGAATCATCATCGAGGGGAGTAAACACCGACGAGGTTGGAGTTGTTGGCATCGTTAGTTCGTTATCTGAAGAAGCCGGAGTCCAAGAACAGTCACTGTTGCTGTCGGTAAATTGCGGGGGAGTCGATGATATCGATAACGAGCTAATCGAACGAAGAAACATCGAAGAGGGAGAGTAACCACCAGAACGACGTCGCTTGTGTATTGGAACATAGGAGAAGGTGGGCTGACGATGAAGTATCGAAGGGTGATCTAATATTGGGTCGGAGACATTAGGAGGAATTGAGATTGACGATGGGGAGCACGATAGCGGTGCAATTTGACGGCCACTTTTACTACCAACAGTATCTTCCACATTTGATTTTGGAGAGATACTGAGGGAAGATTTCGAAAAAAGTTGATTCATCCTTTTTTACAAAAAAAAAGAAAATTTGAACTCGTCCTAATCACAGAAAAGCACTACTTTCGCTATTTTTTTTGATTGATTTTATTATTATTATTATTATTATTATTATTATTTGATTTATAACATGTAAATGGCAAATACTATGATACTAATCAGCGTTGCAAAGGAGCAAAGTAACAGGGTATGTGTGTGTGTGTTATAACGTGAAAGAGAGAGAGTGAAAGAGGCTGTTCGACTGGGAAATTGTTGAATGTTTTTATATAAGAATGGTTTGAACGGTAAATTCTAGAAAAAGTGGTTTATCCAAATAATGGTCTGCCCGTGCCAAGAATATTGCCAAGCAAAATTTTATACAAAAGTTTAAGAAGAGGTACTACAATTATGTGAGTGCAAAATGTTAAATAGAAGCGAAAGTAATAATAATGGCAGCGAAAACAAGGTTTTT